GCACCGGGGGCTGCGGGGGGACTGGGGGCTGCAGGGGGACCTGTCGTAGGAGGAGTAGCCGTTCTGCTGGAGGAAGTCGTCCTTGAGGAGCTTCGCCACCTCCAGCGTCACCTTGTCAGCCTCGGCGAGGGACGCCTGCGGGGGGACGGGCCTGGGGTCCCTATCCCCTGTCCCCATCCCCATCTCATCCCATATCCTATGTCCCCATCCTATCGCGTCCCCATTCATCACGTCCCCATCCCATATCCTCATCCCCACCCCAACCCCATCCCATATCCCCAATTCCATCCTCATCTCCATCCCCTCCTGTCCCCGTCCCAAATCCCCATTCCCATCCCATCCCACCTCCCCCATCCCCATCCCATCCCATCTCCCCCATCCCCATCCCATCCCATCTCCCCATCCCCATCCCAATCCCATCCCGTATTCCACATCCCACATCCCACATCCCACGTCCCATCCCACCTTGCCGACCAGCTGGACGATCTCGGCCAGCTCCTCCTCCTCCTGCAGGATCTCCCTGGCCCGGCTGCGCAGGGCGGGGAACTCGGGGTGCAGCCCCTCGTAGTGGGGCTCCAGCGCCCGCAGGTACCGGCTGTAGCTGATCAGCCAGTTGACTGAGGGAAAATGCTTGCGCTGCGCCAGCTTCTTGTCCAGCCCCCAAAACACCTGGGGGGGAGACGAGGGGTCAGGGGAGGCTGCGCCGGGATGGGGGTCCCCTGTGCGCCCCGCTCACCTGCACGATGCCCAGCGTGGCCGAGGTGACGGGGTCCGAGAAGTCCCCTCCCGGCGGGGACACGCTGCGGGGGACAGCAGGCGGGGGGCCCGGCAGGGTGCCCAGGGTGGGGGTCCCCCATGCTGCCCCCGCCCCGCGGCCCCCCGCACTCACGCGCCGACGATGCTGACGCTGCCCTCGCGGGAAGGGGAGCCCAGGCAGCGCGCTCGCCCCGCGCGCTCGTAGAAGGAGGCCAGGCGGGCGCCCAGGTAAGCCGGGTAGCCGCTGTCTGCGGGGAGCGTGGCGTCACCGGGGCGGCCGGAGCCCCTCACCGGGGCCTCGGGGCTGGCGGAGGAGCGAGGGGTTCTCCCCTGCCTCCCCGAGACCAACGCTCACCTGCCGGCATCTCAGCCAAGCGCCCCGAGATCTCGCGCAGCGCCTCGGCCCAGCGGGAGGTGGAGTCGGCCATCATGCTGACGTGGTAGCCCATGTCGCGGAAGTACTCGGAGAGCGTGATGCCTGCGCCGGCGGCACACGGCTCGCACGCTCGGCGCATGCCCCTCGCACGCTTGACGCGCCCTTCCCACGCTCGCTGCGCACTCCGGCGAGCTCACGGCTGCCCATCTGTGCACCCACCCACGCGTGTGGCTGGGTGCACAAGTGGCCTCGTGGCACGTGCACACTCACATGTGCCCGTGTGCGCTCACACAGGCTGCACACGCTCACACGCGCCATACATACGCCCCCCTGCTGCAGCAGCCCCCGACCCACCGGTGTAGATGGAGGCTTCGCGGGCGGCCACCGGCATGTTGGAGGTGTTGGCCACCAGCGTCGTGCGCTTCATGATGGTCTCCGTCCTCCCGTCCACCTCCATGGTGAGCTGGGGACGGCGTCACTGTCACCGTCCGGCCACCGGCCCCGCAGTGCTCGGCTGGCCACCACCCCGCCGCCGTGCCACCCGTCCCCACCTCGGGGAAGTCCCGCAGGACCTCAGACATCTCGTTGCCCCGCTCGCCGCAGCCCACGTAGACGATGACGTCGCTGTTGGAGTACTTGGACAGGGACTGGGAGATGACGGTTTTGCCGCAGCCGAAGGCGCCCGGGATGGCCGTGGTGCCTCCCTGCACGCACCTGGGGACGGGGACGCGTGGGGACAGCAGAGAGCGGCGGCTGCAGTCCCCTGACAGCGCCCCGCTACGTCCCCATGGAGGCAGGGGGGACCCCGGTCCCCATCCCCATCCCTCCTGG